TGTTTTTCATTGTAAAATTCATTTTTGACTAAGCCTCAGAGGAAAACTCTCGTGGGATAGAATTAGATTTTCATGTGTGCGGTTTATTGGTGAAGTCCACATCTGGGAATTTATCGTCCTGGAATTCATCGACGATTTAACTTCTCTCGCACAATGCTGTGCGTGTGATTCGCAAAATTGGGAGATACTTCTTAATCTTGTTAAAAGATTTTAGGCATCTTCCATTTTCATTTATGAGAACAGATCTATAGCAGCATTTCTCAAACTGTGGTCTACAGACCACAAGTGATCTTCGAAGCCTGCCCATTTGCAAAAATGCGATTTCCTAAATTTGCAAAAATGTCGTATTATTGTAAAAATTATTTATAAACGAAATTGAAAAGACACTGACATACCGTTCAGATGCATTCTCGAAATTAAATGAATTAAATCACTGTCTACACTGTCTTTGACTGTTCTTAGTGCCCACGAGAAAATAAAAGGGTTTAAGAGGAAACTTGGTTTGTGAGTGCGTTATGTAAAAAAAGAAATGTTTCGCTACTTCCAACCTTTGTTAGTAGAAAATGATATTTAAAAAAATTATGCATTGAAATATGTTTGTATCTCGAAATTCTGAGATTCCAGTTAGAAATTTAATTTCGAAGCTGTAAATGTTCTTGGTTTCCTTCCATTGCGATACTAAAATAACAAACTGGCATTAATTGAAAGCGAAAAGTTAATTGAACTGTCGAATGACACTGGACTTAAAATGAAATTCAAAGAGGAACTATAATTAATTTCTGGACCTCATTATCTCTGAAAAATGGAATAATAAACTGTACAATGGTGCTTAAAGTTATAATTCAATGCCCAGGGGCGATACCCAGAGTCTCAAAACGACATTTTGCGTCGGTTCATTATAAATGTTCGTTTCACTTTTCAAATTGTTGCCACCAAAAATTACAGCCCTGTATTTATTATATTTAAAAAAATTAAATAATGAAGAATTTGCATAAATGCTTGCACTTTCCTCGCATTTAAAAAAAACGGTACCTAGAGCCATCAAATTTTGAATAACGTAGTCCTCAACCCGAGTATGGGCACCTGGAAACCCGAATTTGAAATTTGTTTTATTGTCTATTCCATATTTTGTGAAACTTTAATGAATTTTTCATTAACAAATTCAACGATTTCAAAGCCAGCTATGGCAATACTCTACGGGGGGGGCGAATTATCTTCTTGGCGTGAGACTGTCTAGCAGAGAGGCTAAAGATATGCTGTTTTTAAATATTTTTAGTCCAAAGGGACTGCAGCCCAAATGTTACTCGAACGTGGATGTGTATATAGAAGAGGGGGGAAAACTCCTTTGTGCATAATATAAAATTTGAAAGCTTTCAGTTCTATTGTTATTATTATTTTATAACAAATTAATACTTAAATGAAGGTGATTAGGCCCATTATTATTGGAAGAGAGCAGTACTTTTTTTTAACCTTGTTGACTAAAAATATTTTAAAAGTACATGAACAATCATTGTCTGAAAACAAATGTGTTTCTAGTCGTGTAGCTAATTATTTAAGAAAGAAACTCGGGCGTGATGAAACGGAGATAAATTAAAAGACTGTATGTATCTTTTATTATTATTATTATTTATATATTTGTTTCGAGAATCTGTCATCTAAGGGCCGCGAAATAGCATTTTGGCATTTTTAAAAATCGCAAAATACTGCTGTATCACGTATCGTTGATTTATATTTTATGCATATATTTATGCATGTTTATATATTGCTTACCTACAGTATTCTAGTGTATAAAGTTTTTACTATAATATAGTCTTATATGAGCATATTTTTTATATTGTTTAAAAAAAAATCTAAAGAATTCGAGGTTGACAAACCTTTCTTTTAAAAACATTTATCTTTCAATTTACATTTGCTTAACAAACTGAGCGATTAAAATTAAATAAATGCATTCGTTATAATATTTATTTTTTATGTTTTAATATATATATATATATATATATGATTAATAAAATTATTTCAAAAGAATATAGTAAAGTTAAATTAAATTTAAATAATTCTCTTGCGCCATTGCTGCAAGGAATGAAATTTGAATTTAACAAACATCCTCTATTCGTAAAAAGCAAATTTATGAATTTAAATCAATGGAGCTTGTTTGCATGCGGTTTGTAGAAGCATTGTAATTAATAAAAATGCTTTGAATGCCAGAAGTTACGTATTTCGGTGCACAATAATTGTTTGTTTATTCCGTTTTACGTTTGGATGGTATCATTGCTTTTGAATTAATGCCCTCAGAGGTAATTACTGCATCTGACATGCTGGGGTTGCGCGAAATAACAAAGCTATGCATAAAAGAGTTACTTTTGTTTCTACCAATTACTCAGTAACTCATAAAAATAACCACATATTTGTGTGATTATTTTAGTTATGCTCTGAAGATTATGTAAAACTGCAAATTTCAGTTGTAATTCATAGTAAACGGATATGCGACTTGACTCTTCCAAAGAAATCAGAGTATTAGGACATTTGTAGCCTCAGTTACTAAATTATTGGGGATATCGAAAGGTACTGCACCGAACGTCATGATAGCATATTAATAATCTCAGAAAAATATCTTCGAAACGTTTGTGAGAAGAAGCGGCTGTTGAAGCCGCAAAAAAAAAAAAAAAAGAAAAGAAAAAAAGAAAAGGTAACTACCAGGCTTAATATGCATATACAAGAAACTAGTTTCGACACCTACATTATAAAGGAAATTATGAAGCAGAATAGTCCCAGCACAGCCACTATCTCTAAGCCTCTTATTTCGCAAATAAATGCAAATATAGAGACTACAATTGTGTCAGGAACATAAAACGTGTGAAGCTATTCAATGAAAACGAGTATTCTATTCATGTGAGACTACCTTCGCATTGTTTCCAACCTAAGGACAGATTTATGTTCAGAGAATGCCAGCAGAAACTTGCTGTTAAAAAAATATTCCAGACTGTCTGCTTCTTGCAGTAAAGCATAGTGATGGTTCAGTTATGCTTTAGGGCCGTTATATCATGGTTTGCAGCAACTCCATGCATCACCTAATAAAAAAGAAAGAATATCTTTGATCATACAATTATTTTAAGCGACCATGCCCATTCAAAGCGCATACATTGTTTCCTACGACTAAATCTGTCATTCAAGTTAACGCTTCCATTCATCAAAGGCACACTGTTCAGTCATAATTTAAAGACTCGGTCCTTGCCGCCTAGACATGAAAGTGGTTAGTGACTCTTCTGACTGCCTTACCGAAGGGGCCTAGCACGATTTCCGGAGAAGGTATGGATGTAAATTGTCTGTCCCTTTAGCATATAGCACCACTGAGCAGGCTTCCGACCTAAGATTATCTAAAAGATTACCAAGCGGAGGAGGCAGTGGTGGCTCATCTATTAGGTGCCTCCATAAGAAAGTGATCAGCGCTTTCGACCTTAATAGAACCGACCTATAATGGCTAGTGCCCGCCATTGGGGGGGGAAAGCAATAATAATTTAATAGTTTAAAGAATGTGAATATAATGTTGCGCATCTTCTGTGGCCTGCATAACATGATATTTAAATATCATTGAAACACTGCGGTCTATGCTGAAAAACAGAGTGAGATCCAGTTCTTTCTTCCGGCATCTTTCAGAGAAATAGAGCAGTTTCTGAAGTTAGAATGGTATAAGATGCCTATCACCACTACTTGAAATTTGTATGCCTTCTTATACTATATTAGGTACACAATTCTTAATATTTTTAGGTGTTTTCATTATTTTATACTTCCCCCATATATCAAATGATAAAACTTATTAAAATGGATTTCTGTGCATGTAAATGTTGACTTGTGTCGAATGGAAAGAGAATGACAGCGCGCTTTTACTCTGTATCAGATAAAGAATGTCTGGAACAACAAAAGGAAAATATGAAGAATCAAGATGGTAGAATGGAATATTTCACTTAGCCGCCATCAGTCGGCGAAGAAAGATGAAATGAATGAAAATAGACCAGCAATGTGAAAAAAAGTTGGATCAGTGAGGTAGTAGGTACTTCAAATAATTAACAAAATGTTAGGTTAGAATATCCGAAGGATATTTGTGTTTTGCTCTAAGAAAAGGTGAGCATCGCAAAGAGCTGATACAGCTGTTTACATATGTAAATGTTAGAGATGTTTTCATTTTATTTACTTTCGGTGTCTTCGATACATTTCCATTCAACGATTACACTCGGGACTATCAATAAAATTCTATCTGAAGATCATTTTTGAGTTTCGATCCAAATTTTTCAATAACCATTTTTGATTAGGTTTCATTTCTTACAGGACTGCATAAGCATCTTTGTGTTTTTCCCCATGTTTAGCGTGAATATGAACCATTTCCGTTAGAAACCCCTCCATGAAAGTGCCCTTTCCTTTAGACAGAGCGCCTTAGTGTGCTTTGCTGTAATATAGTGTATCCAGTAATCACAACTTAAAAGTGTTAAACTGTAATCTGAAATTTTTGAATTGCGGTTCCTGTTGAAGTCTTGTTGCCTTTTTTTAAAAGTTTTTCTGATGTTCACATGTGTTCCATATGTGATAGTATGAGTATGGAACCGTAATATATAACAATTTCAGTATGAACATTATGAGTATTTTTCTTTTTAATTAATTAATTTAAGAGGAAATTATGAAATAAAGCTCGCGCATCTTCATATATTTTACACGTACTGTGCCGCATTCTGCGGTTTTTGCTTGCGGTTCGGTAATGTTTTGTGGTCTGTCTGAGAGGAATGTTTTGCTAATAACAGGGTACTGAAACTTATATTTTACAATTATTTTATTAATTGTAGTTATTACATTTTGACTAATAGTCTAGATACAATTTTTATTTTGAAAAGTAGTTGTTCTTTACAAGTTCGCTGGTATTTAAAAAGGTCTCTCAGTTATTTGATTGAATGTCACAGTTTCTGATATATTTTTATTATTATCATTACAGAGTAGTAATTTTTCTTTTTCAGGTGTCATTCCTAGAGATCCTAATCTAGTCTATCCTTCGACTGCAGCTCCGCCGACTTCGCCGTCGCAGCTTTACGCCTTCCTTTTGCAGCGAAATATTAGGTAAGAATCTTGACTGGACTCTTGCATCTGTTTCCTGCGATTTGTTAATCAAGTCCATTATCTAAATGATAATTTAAAAATTCGTTTGTATCTTATTCTCACCGGATTTCGTAGTAATTTTAATTCCTAATTTAAGCCTTAAAATCTTGAGAAGTTTCCGCAAAAATTACCAGTTTTCAAATTATAACATTAATATTCTTAAATCATTATAATAGTAAGCACCTGATCTCAATTTAAAAAAAAATTAAAGTAAAAAAAAAAAAAAAAAAAAAAAAAAAAAAAATCTGAAAGGACTCTGTTTTGTGCTCTGACTGAGCCCGCAATGCAACTTTTTGGGGTCTTTTATAAATTTATTATTAATCATCACTTTCTTCGCATTTACGCCACATAAAATTCAACAGCAAATTTATAATATTTATAAACACAGCATATCTTTAGAACTCCTGACAGAGTGTTAAGGTCTGCCTTACAATATTTTACATTCTCTCTATTATTACTTTAAAGTTGGCGATTTGTGGACAACATTTTTTTATTTGTGTCAGCATGCATTTTTTTTTTTTTTTTTTTTTTTTTTTTATATTCGCTATATTATTTCTTTAAAAACAATGCATGGCGATAATATTCGGTGGCAATACCCTTTTATTTGTTTTCTCCTACATTCTTTTATTATATTCTCTATATTATTTCTTTAAAATTTTTAGATCTAAAGTGGTAGTGTCCATTTGTAAATTTCGATATTTGCTTCACTTGTCTAACGGCTAACTTCTTATTTCTTGACAAATTAGCTACTGTGTTAAACAAGATATTCATTTACAACCGACATTATATTTTTTACATTGCAAGTTTTTTAATTCTCAAGATCATTAAAGTAGAACCTAAATCAAAATAAAATTGCTGATTTATTCAGTTGTAATATTTTATCCAATTTAAAATATTTCATAATATTATCATTTCAGTGAATATAATATTGTTGATCCTTATTAGTCTTGAAGCGTTTATACTTGTATTATCAAAGGAAAGAGAATGGAGGTCACATACGCACATTGTACGTTTGTCAAACTAAATTTAGCTGTGATCAGCTTAATGTAGAACAATTAATTATGTCACATATCAAATAAAAGAATGAAGAATTGTTCATCTCGCCAACACATATGCTCGAAAATGATATGGTGAATCCTTATTAAAATACATTAATTATCCAACAATGTCTGTGCTTGAACCAGATTTAACTGAGATCGGCAACTGTCAGTTCTTATCTGGAATTCATAGAACGAATCCAGCATATTACAAACAAATGATCTACTTTTTTATCTCTGAGTACACGTCTTTCTTTATTATTTTTGTTTTCTTAAATTATTAAATTGAAGACTTCAATTGTAATCATTTTCTGGATTACGCAATGAGCATTGCAAGTTGTTACTTACAAGCTTTAAACAGGTTGGAATTTTTATGTAATATTTGCAATTGTGCGTGATTGACACAAGGAATACTCGAGAAACATGTAAATGAAGTAATTATAACAATTTTAATGTCATAAAAAATTAATATTATAAGAATATAATTGGGAATTCATTACATTATAAATACGAGGGGTGTTTAGATGTAAATAGGAATTTTTTAACTTTATCGAATTGCAATGAAACAACTTGCATAGTGTGCTTCTATTTAGTCATCTACCACTTCAGTGCACTTGTTCCAGCGGCCAGAAAATTTCTTAATTCCAGAAGAATAAAAATCTTTTGACTGCATGTTCAACTATTTCTGCACAGTGTCAGTAACCTGCTCATTAGATTAGATTTTCTTTTTTAAAAATTTTGTAAATGAATCGAAGGAATGAAAATCTATGATGTTAAATCTGGACTATGTGGATGGGTGAGGCATGACTTCCCATTTTTATTGTTTAACTGTAACTTATCTTCTTTCTTTGTGACCAGGCCTAAAAAGGCGAGGAACCCGCATGGCGCTCCCTTTGTTAAATTTAAGGCGATTTGTAACTAATGTTTCCACATTACCAATTTTATGTTCGTTAGCAGTTTCTCTCACACTGGTTTTCCGATGGAACCGAATTAGTGCATCAGCGATAGTCAGGTTGTCTTCATTAGTTGAGATTCTGTCGACGGTTGATAATACTTAAAAAGAAAAGACACTCTTCGCGAAACGGACTCGAGGAATTCTGAACAGGAATGATTTCTTCGAGAGTTATAAATCTAATTATGATTCGTTACGCAAAGTTTTTGTGAATTTCCTGCTCTGACTGTTGACTGCAACCAATAGAGATGATGAAAAGAGAACTAGCACTACTTTACCAAGTTTTACCATATATGTAAATATCCTGAATGAATCCTGATTACGTTGAACTCTTTACAGAAAATGAGTAAAATAAGTAGCTGCACCACATATCGCAATTAAAAATATTGTAAATATAAGAGATTTTCTATTGCTCCAGCTTGAAGGATAACTGCAACTGGTCTTATGTCTTATACAAACATCACTCATCCGAACAGTCAAGTTACCCAAATAGTTGGGCGAACAAGTGGCTGAATGGAAATACGGCTGAAGTACATCAGTCGACAACGGAGCGGGGGGGAACTAAGGTTAAATCCTACTCAATCGGCTGACAGCGTGGGTGCGTGATCCATACAGCCAGCCTGTTCAAAGTATATAGGGTAATTCAAAAGTATGTGGCAAAAATGTAGAGGGGACAGAATTTTCAATGAAATGTGTGTGTGCGAAAATGGCGCTTTGAGGTGATACAGGGTGCTTTTGAACGGTAGATAAAAGCGTTCTGCTGGCATAAATCCTCATTACCCGTGCGTTTTAAAACTGTACGAACGCGAAGCTTCTCGACCAGCATACGCATATGTAGCCATTATATTTAAGGAGGTGCTCGGGAATCGTTCTCTGTTTCTCCTGTGCAATCACTATCAGATAAGACTAATATTCAAAAGAAAAACAGGCGTAATGTTCTTATTAAAGATGTTCGTATCTTTTTCTGAATAATTATCATTTGGATTAAAAAATAAATGCAGTTTTATGAAACTCAGTATTAGCGTAGATACTGCGGTTTAGATCGCAGTCGTTAATCCCTGTTAATATTTTGTATGCAGTCCTTGATATATTTTTTTTGGGGGGGCGACCGTGTGACTCCTGGTGCATCTCTTCATCTCGGCCATACCGCCCGATAGTTTGGGTAATTTAGCTATTCGTATTTTATTGCATTTAATAATTTCTCTGAAATGGTAAACTTATATCATTAATGTCTGTTTTGTTAATTTCTAGTAAATGCTGTCAATATGTAAGGAATTATCACATTTCCTTATGCATGGTGTGGTGTCGTGATGTAAATAGTTAACATTACCTGCTAGCAGTTGGAAGTTCCATTTCTCGAATCCTGACGAGAGCGCAGTCGATTTTTCACGTCTTCGAAAAATTTAATGGTCTCTACAGTGACGCAGTAATTAAAAATGATGTCAAAGTGGTGATGAACGATAATTCATTACCACTTTGATTTGGTGGACTGGGTCTCGTGCCTCTCCTCAGTCGTTGTTTACGTGAAAGAGAATGGAGGAATTATCACATTCCTTTAAACTTGCTATCATAGTTATAAGTGATTAACATTACGAGCTAAAAATGGAAGTTTAAAGTTTCGAAACCCAGCGGAGTCACAATTAATTTTTCATGTGTTCGACTTCTGAAAATTTAACGGTCTCTTAGAATCCTATTCTCATTCCTGGTCTCTTAAAATTCTATTCGAGAAATAAATTTCTTAAGAATTTCATACTAATGGAATTTTTTAGAATTTTATTACTCAGAATTCCTGCTGTTCATTTAACATAAACAAACTGATTTTCCCCCTCCATTTTATTTTCAGTACCACAAAATGAATTTTAAATTAATAAATTGCCAAAATTCCTTATATGCAAATTTGACTTTTAACTAAACTTTTAAGTGGTGTATATTTACTGTCCCCTCCCCTTCCAGTGTCTGTTTCTTATAAAGTAGGATAACCCTAAGAAAAAAAGAAACATTAGACACAAATTTAAGAAATGGAGTCTTGAAAATAAATAAATAAATAAGAACAAAAATATCGCCGTATTCCCAGTTTCACTGAATAGCATCCCAGTTTCACTGTAGAAGAGTAATATGACGTCATAGTTCCTCTCCTCTCTACTTTATTCTTTGCGGTTTTCCATAATAAAGTATAATTTATGGATTAAGCGTCATCATAATCCTCTTTTTCTCTGTCTTTTGGTCTATCCTGTATTATTGTGAATGTAGTTTACTAGATGCATATTCACTGGAATGATAAACGTGTAATCTTTAACCGTTTCTGAAGTCCTTCGAATACTCCTAAAAACCATTTTCATGATGTAATCATTGCTTGTTCTGCGTAAAGTTGCATTTCTTCTCCCATTCCGGCCAATTTTCTTATCATTCAGTAAGTACGTGTTGGCATCTTAAAAAGATAATATGTTCAAGAATAGTTCCAAAACCATTGCCTTTGTACATATGAGTACGGATTTTTATTATTGTTGAAATGCGTCTTATCATGATGCATTTTGATAACTAATGTAGCCACTAAACATGGTAATTATATCATTGCATGTAATTATCTTCGACTGAAATCGAAAAAGTCTAGTATTAAAGAAATTAAAATATCCTTTCGATTATTAAGTGTACTATATTAAAATGTAGTATGTAGTATATTTTATAATCTTGTGCACTACAGTAAAACACACAGGCTTGCGTATTGTATTAAAATATAATGGACTGTGCCGATTTACGGAATTGGAAACCCGAGACAAAAGCCCACACTGAAACCCGTCCTCCCTTGATTCCTCTCAGTGTGGTAGATATAGTAATTGTTACGAATAACATTAAGCATTTAGTGAAATAACCTAATAATTTACTGTTTTTATTTAAAGTTATTTAGCCATAAAATACGTTTACTCTTTCTATATGTTTTCATAGTTTATAATGTATTATGTGAAATATAAGCT